CACATCTGTCTAGCGATCGCCGACAACGATGAGATGGGATGAGATGAGATTTGTGATCGGGGCTGTGATTGTGATGGAACTGATGCATTGCCGCGGTGTCTGCTACGTACTCCCCGTACGGCGTATGTACTTCGTACTGTTGTAGCGCCGGCGTCGCTTGGTAGCCCGCGTACTCGGCTGCGGTGTCGTGACTCTGGTGAGGGCTGGCTGGATCGACTGGTGAGGCGATCAAACCATGGTACGAAGCAATAGTATCGCGGTGATATAGGGCTCTAGGAGACGTGTGACCATTGACAGACCCAAGCCAAACACTCGATGCAGGCCGCTAGGGAGATCATATACCTTTTCCATGGTCGAGTACCACCGTAATGTCCTCCGTCGCGGTTGTTGGGTCCATTTCAAGGCTGAGGCCGCGCCCGAGGTTGCGGCGACGTGCTTGTCGGAAGGTGACCCGAGGGATCTATCGCGGGCGTTGGAGATTTAGGACTGTCCAGCTCCCACTGCGCTGGGAAAAGGCTCGGAACACGGCTGCGTTGCTGCACCTCTTCCCGTGTCCTTCTGATTTAATTTGGTCAGTACTGACGCCGTACGCAGGTACTGGTAGACTCTGACTATGCGCTTGTTTCGTGATATGTGGTACCATTAGAAGACTGATGGTGTTGCACACCAAACCTACTTGCTGCCACACATAGCACGAAGTAAGCGGAAAGAAACTCTCAGGAAGGTTGATGCCGCTGTCGCACCGCACCGCGCCCCTAAGCCCCCCCGTCTTTCAATCTGTACTTCGTAATCAATCTCTAGCCCCCCCGCGTCGCGGGCCGTGAGGCTTTTGATTGTGAGCGATTAACAGATTGAATTGAAGCAAGTTGCCCATACACGGCTCCATAGGGCCCTGATACGCGCCGCACGACTGTGTACTTGGTACCTCTTACTCCAGATGGCGCCTTGCCGACAACTGGTCCCTGTGCTCGTAGTCTCGAGCTTGGCTTGGCAACATGGTTATCATAATATATCACTCTGTTTCTTTTGGTGTTTTTAATGCATTGCGGGCGCATATCGCTTGCGGAACTTCCGAATGGCAGGGTGGCGAACATGGCTGCGGGTGCTGAGTCCAGAGTCCTAACTGCTCGAATCGTGTCCCCTGTTCCCCTGTTGGCTTTCGCCGAGTCCGCTTCACGCTTCACGCTTCCGGCTCAGCCTTCTACTAGAGTACGTCGTACAAGTCGCGTCGAGCAAACTCGTCACATTGAAACCTGCTTGCCATTGATAGCGCTCGCCGGCTCGTACTAGCACTGTGCCAGCTACTAGCTACCAGCTGCTCAACTCGGAAAGCCGAGACTCAAGTCTAACACTGTACGTAGTACATAGTACATACCTTGGGCACAGTACCTAGGTATTGTACTGCATGCTTCAGACTGCCCATGTTCCCATGGGTTCTCGCGATGGAGCCGGGCAGGCAAGATAAAACCTCAATAAATACTCCATAGTGCTGTTGGAAGGAATCTCATCACACTTTGTCCAACATGCTCCCCTAGCCGGATCATGGATCCATGGACCTTCAGGAGCAGCAGCATGGAAGTTTTGCTGCTAGTCCTTGCAAAGTATCCCCTCTCAAAGACCGAGTACTGTGAAGGTAGTACGGCAGTTGACGCTGAACTCGCAAGTACTGTACGTACTCGGCGGCAACAGCGCGAGAATATCCCGTCGGAGGATATACTAACCAAGCTGTTATCTGGTGAGCAATGATGTAAAACGAAGTAGCGTATGCCGATCAATTGAATGTTGGCCCAACTTAGTTGCAGGCGTGAAGGAGCTATTCGGTACTCACAGCAATGGAACTGCCCTCCAAGTCTTCTATGCATGAGATCTAGGCCAGGGCCGTCGATATATGTAGTAGTGATCGGCTGTAGACGTGAGGCTCCATACGGAGTAGCTCCAGACTTTTGTCGATCCACTTGATTCACTAATCAGTAAGATCTTACGAAGTACAGTACTTCGTACTACCTACTGCAATACGAGTCGCACTTCGTATGATGAAGTGGACGTCAACCTAGTCGCTGTAACTGAACAATGACCGACTGTTGCTGCGAGATTCAGTTCCACCACGTACGTCCAAATGCAAAGAGCAGCAATAATGTGAGAGCATACTTCGTACTTGGTAACGAATTTGGCTGTTCATGTTGGTGATGGGACACTTTCAGCCAGGCGGTGATTGGCCGCCGGGCATGTTGCCAATGCATTATGGGCTCCGACTGAGACTGGAGAACGCATGAAAACATCATCACCACATCCAAGCCCAACCCTCTACAAAGTTAGAACCTCAGGAGGCGCTGTGCGACGTCGCTCGCAGCTCTCCACCCCGGATGGATACTTTGTCGGATCGCATAACCAAGTTCTTTCTTGCATCGTCCCGTGATGTGCATGTCAGCATGCCGAACTCTGTCGTGGGATACCTCCTCGAACACTTTATGCAGGGAATGTGAAATTAATGCCTCTGGTTTGCACCCCTTTTGAAGTGCACAATGCGGATAGGCAATTGGGAGAGTGATTACTACCGAGTATGGAGATGGACTATTGATTCATCTTGTGTTCTTAATGCAATGATTTGGATCTTAGTATAGCCCCGCGGGCCTAGGAAAGGAGGGGCCTAGTTGATCATACGCGTGATAATCGATGATCACCGCCGAGATTAATATTGACGGTGATAATGGTGGGTTCTCGGAGATGTTGAGGTAACGAAATATCAAATTATACCCACAACCTACTCGGTATTCGGAATTTTTTTTTGTGCAAGTCCAAGGCGAAAACGGCTCGTCGACTGAGTAACAAGTCCGGAGTAACACAAGAATACCTCTATTGTCGTCGGAAGGCATCTGGGAGAGGCAACCGATGGAGATGATGACGGCGGCGCAGCCCGGCGCAAGAGAAAATTGAGGAAGAACGATGCGGAGAAAGGAGCAAGGAACCACCTTGTTGCCCTGCCGGCATGCTCAGAAGTGGTACTTGGGGACTCGAGGCTGTCAACTTGTCAACTTGTCAAGCCGCGGGCGTAAGCTGCGTAGCCTTCCCGCTCTGTGGCCCAGTGGCCCCTCCGTATTCGCTCCAGCTTCCTAGGCTCGACGAGTGATGTGGACAGTGGATGAATTATTGCCCCGAGAAGCAACTAATAAGCTACAGTTGGCTACGGACCTAGGCTACTCAGCCCAAGAAGCCACTGGCAGGGGAACAATGGAGTTTAATGGACGCCCTCACCGGGCCCTGCTGAATGGCCCTGTGCCGTACCTTGCTGCCCCTGGGCTGGAGGCTGGAAGCTAGAGCCATTCGGTGATAGCCTCTTTCTCTGCTGCTTGGTGCTGGAACACATCCACGGTTTGGCCTGGGAGAGCGGGGCAGGTTCGCTTGCACGTCTTGTGACGAGATACGCAGCACGCAGAATGAAGTACAGGACAGTATCAACTTGTTATCAAGAGGCTGGCTTGTAGTCTTGTACAGTACAGTAGTAGTCTTGTGCTCGACTATCGAGCTCTATCCCACCTCTGCTGGAGACGGTCCCCCCTAAATAGGGACGATCGGCAGGTACAGCACAGCGTAGCGTTGGTCGCACGGAGAGATATTCTTCGATGGCGCCTTCGGTGGCTCTTGTCACCAAGGGAGGAGAAGGGCGCGGAGGAGAAGAAACGCTGATGCTCATACTGTCGCTGCCCGGGCGCGGCTCAACGTCCGCGGCCACCGATCTGTGTACGGGTAGTCTCTCTCAAGGCGCGAGTCTCGAGGGCAGAGTCTAAATCTGGAGTCTAGAGTCTAGAGCCTCGAGCCTAGACGCAAGTGGAAGTTTGCGACGGGCGGGAGAGTATCGCGACATCTGCACATCGTTGGCTTCGACAGGCAGGCAGCGGGAAGTACGGAGGGAACGCAGTAGTCTAGTTCCAGCAGATTGCGTGGGAGTTTGCGTTGGTGGCCACTCTCGTAGGCACTACCTACTGTACTACTGTACTCCGTGCTGGTAGCTGTAGCCGTGTGGAATGTGTGGGAAATGTGTCGGAGAGTTAGTAGCGGTGATCGGAACCGGAATAGTCCAAACTCGACCAGTCAACAGAACAATGGGATGTACGAAGAATGTCTGTCGAAGTCGACGTCGAAGACGGAAGGTACATGTACCTCCGTACTTCGGCCCCTCTCACTGGTGGAAAAGCCATAAGGCACCCCGTGCCTACCGCACGATGGCCTACGCCTACGCCTACACCTACTCTGTAGAGAACCCTACCCAAGGTACCTGATGTACCTAAGCCCATGATGGCTGGCCTGGCCTGGCCGGTCCTGTCCTGGAACACCGCTATTGCCCAGTCAACCGCTTCGTAATGCTGGGGGACTTCAGATATTACTCGACTAGGCTGCGTCTGGGGATGCAGCTTGATCAAGCATAGTCTGCAGGCACTACCGCCAGCTGGTGGGCAGCCTAGCAACTGACAGAGTAGTAACTTAGCACCTCAGCATTCTCGGCCGCCTGCACGCAGGGTGCTGGTGCAACCGTACGTCCACTCGTTCCGGGGGGGGGGATAATGGCCCGGCACCCAGTTTGGTAGGGAGCTACTGTGCCCGCCTAGGTACACTACAGTATAGTGCATCGGATAGTAGCACCAAAGCAGATAGGGACCCTAGAAAGCCCCCCAAGAACACCCCCCTACCAGCCGACCACCCCCAAGAAAG